AAATAGCTGCGCTGCGCCAGCGCTCCCCACCCTACCCTCCTCATGACACGCCCCAGAATCCGCAACGAACAAGAGTGTAGTTGTTCCTTGCATTACACAGGCAGTATACTTTAGTTCTACCTCCATCCAAGCGAACTATGCAATAGAAGACCAGAGCTTTGATTTTTCTGTGTCGAAACAATGAATGCTATTTTCATCAACCCCCCCCTACGCTCCACTAAATTTGATACAAATACTTTCCTGATTTACAACAGGGTAACAAGTCCTCCCAGGTTTCCTTACATATAGGCTTTCTTGGTAACACTAGCGCTCGTCAAGTCTGCCGCACCCTCCTACAGAACCTCCACTCTATAGATGAAGTCAAATTATTAAGAAGTGTTGCACATCCGTCCACAGTGATTCTTGAAACCATTCAAATATCACATCTCCTAAATTCCAGTAGAAAACTGTTGATCCCTGTTCGAGGGACAGAGTGAAGCGCGTTGGGGAGCCCTCGACGGGATGGGAGGGGAGAGCGGGAGGGGGTCTAATTTGGCTTAATGAAAAATTTGCCTTGCTCGTTGGTCGCTCATATTCCGCACTTTCTGTTATTTTCCTCGACGTCATGTTTGCCTCTGCCAGAAATTATCCATAGGTTTTATAGTGACGCTATATAATCTGTTAAATTATACTGTGTTACTTGAAATGTTTTTATAACCTTTCATTCATCGTTAGCTTTCTGCATTGGAATCGATAACATCGCCACAACTACAGTCTATAACCCGGAGATAGATAGGGCGTGGTTGCGCACTTCATCTGGACAGCTGTAGGACGTGTTCCTCGTAAAATGTTTCCATTTGAGACGGCTGCCATCCTGTCTTATGCCTGGCTATGCCAAAGAAAGTGTATAGGCCGCCACTTTCTATTGAAGTACCCAACCATGCCCTCCCCAACTCCGCAAAATGGAGTGTGCTTGTTTATATTTTTCCTATTTCAGGGAGCGATGAGCTCTTTTTACTCGGGAAGCCAGGCTCTTTCGTTAGCGGTGTTGTTCTCCGGTCTCGATGTTGCCGTCAATATGTTCGGCTTGGCGTGGAACGGGCAGGTATGGCTTCTAAAGTGGTCAAGTCTTCCCAAAGAAAGCAACAATATCTCTTTGGTTCAATTATACTGTCTTAAAGACACATTCCTCGGTCATCAGACGAGCGCAGAAACAGGCAGAGGCTTATAACCACTGCACATTCCTCAGTAGCGCGCCCTCCTTTGCCGCGCTGAAGAGGAGAAGAGTGCGCCGCTGAGGAAAGCGGCGCGAGTGGTTTGGGTTCCCGCCTTTCCAGGTTATCGGGGAGCGATGGCGTATGAGGTTCTTGCCGACGTAATTTGTTTTTGCCCTTTGCATTAGATTTATATTGGGCAGTGTGTCGGAGTAGCTTGCAGCAGATGGGCGATAAGCGAGGTGCGAAGCGACTTGGTTCGATGTTTGCCAAATAACAAGTTGCGACCGGACTAACCCCATCGAACTTTTCTTGTGCCAGCGTTTCATTATCCTATGTGTAACGGGAGGAATATGATGCTTTCATTAGCTTCTGCGTCAACGAAGCCGTTTTTAGTGGAACTGTATTCACGGAAGTAATAAAACATCCAATTACAACAGTGCCGACGCGTTTACGAAGATGAGAAGGTTGTAGCAGGACTATTGTAATACGAGAACGTTCTCTGAACTTAGGGGAATTTATCGATTCAATTTGCAGGCTGTTGCATTTCTGAGAGATTGCGTGCTGATCGGCGGTGGTTTGGCAGCATGGACATCACCCAGTGGCTTCAGTGAAGTTGCTAAAAAAGCGTCGTACGTTACTTGTCTTATACAAGCACATCGAGAATTGAGAAGGGTACTGATATTGTTAACGGAGGAGGAGGGGAAGCGAATAGCGGGCTACTCCATTGTGTAGGCGCTCTCCATCTAACACTATCCGAAGCTGATCTTGGGGAGAAAAGAAGCCAGTAGCCTGACAGCGAGCAGGCCAGGTCGCGCTGCCATGCTTTGTTCCCTGAGGCCGCATTCATACTTCGCGACTTGGGCGAAAAAGAATCGCTCGATGCGAACGGTCATGCTTCAGCATTGGGCCGATGTGACGCTCAATCCAATCGCAGCCGGGAGCAGAGTTTTCGACCGTCCCAGCTGCCCTTCCAGCTACCCAAATAACGCTGAAGCGCAGTCAACCACGGTCGCGCGATCAGGGATCGCGAAGTATGAACACGACCTAACCATCCTAGCGCCAAAAAATATACCATAAGCCGAAGTTGAGCAGATTCATAATGTGTGACGATTTTGCGCTCATCTCTAGATGCACCTCTGCTCTCTCCACACCGGAGTAATGGATCACCAGACCTGAAAAATTAAACGTGCTGAGCACCCCGGCAGAAGGCCAGAGCCATCGCCCGCAAGGCCGCGCCGCGAACGCATGCCGTGTGACCAGAAAACTGTACATTTCATTACTTAGGAATGAGTTATTTAGCAAAATCTGGCTTTCAGCCGTGATCTTTCAGCAACTTCGTTTTCGCCGCCATGCTGGTTATTCTTGCGTTTGCTCCCTCGAAGTTGTTGGCTTTTTACGAGGACGACAACCTCAGACTGGCTGTCGGTGACTGGATCCTCATGATCTGGTGCATTTTTGCCAGTCTGGCTATCCAAGTAAATTTTTAGAACCATTATTTTCTCATGTAGTTGTTAGTGAAAATAGGTGAAAAAGTAATAATTGTCTCATTACTCTGTTCTGACTAGTTCTTTCTGCTAATGTGGGCGGAGATAGTCAACCATTTCGT